GTGGGAGATGGACTTGGTGGTATATGGATGAATTGCATTTATTTTAAAAATAAGTCATTTAAAAGACTGATGTACCAAAGCCAGACTAGATATAGCATAGAGATGATAGACTCTAGATATCTATTTATTTTTTACAGGGATAATGAATTTCCATTTATGACTTCGCTATGAGGTTTAAATTTTTTTTAAAATAACTGCGATTAAGTTTTTTAAAAAGCAAGTTAGTGAAATTATTTTTAAAATAAGTAAATTTTAGTAGGGGATGCAGGCAAATTTGGTAAAGATCTTGAAGCCAACTGGGAGACAGCTGAAGATTAGATCATCGATGGCTGTATGAAGCATGTTGTGTGATGATTTGGCCCCACTCTACCTTGCCCACTTCTGTTATGTGACATGCATTTTACTCTCCTTCAGCAATAATAGCTGTGAAAAGAGGGGCTTACGTGCTTAGCTATGCTTTTTTTCCCACCATACACATTAAAACAAACACAAAACTATAAAGGTAAAAACATATGCATCCGGGGACTATCTAAAATTATCTCCTACCTCATTTTGGGAAACGTCACCATTTGGGAATTTATCTGGTCTCCACCACTCGTCTGGGGAATCCTTAACACAGGGCACCGTGGAGTATTCAGAGCACCATCTCTGGTGATAGAATGGTGTGTGGCAGAGAGTGGGCATTCATTAAGCATTGGCTTAGACATGAAAGGACAGTGAGATGCCAACCGTAACATTTAATAGCTGAGGCGCTGGTGTGTCAAAGCCACACTCCGTACAGTTCAAAGATGATGGATTGCAGGGCTTCCCCACATATGGTTGGCGGCAGAAACACACCACAAAGCGCATTACCCACAGAGGAGCTATCCCCCCATGTGGGGGTTCCGACTAATGAGTTTGGGGGGCAAGTTGAGTTCTTCCAAGCAGAAAGCAAGCAAGTGAAATCTCTCTTTCACTTACTTCTCTCTTTGTGGCCGATGCCATCTGCTAGTTTTAAAAATAATTTTTAAAAAGCAAGTGTTTTGGTTCTCTTCAACGTGCAGCAAAGACAGATGCTAATTTTAGGCTTGTTTTCTATCAAAAATCCCCCAAAGAACCAGGGGCTGGGTGTCGGCAGTTCTGGCTTACTGTCTGCATTCTGCCACCAACTAGTATGTGACCTTTTTGCAAATCTCATATGCCTTGGGCCCTGAGAACAGAAGTGATAGTTCTACCTCCCTCTGCCTCTCATTAGGGTGGAGAGTAGCACTGGTCTGAGAAACGCACATTGGCCAAATGGGGTGGGAAACCTGTGGCCTTCTGATTTCAAGATCGTTCATTTTTAAGCACCAAAGGAGGGAAGAAAAGCTTCATCTTTCTCTACTGCACCCCTTGTAATAAAACGATCGGTTCTGTAAAATTTGGATTCAGTCAAAAGGCTGCCCTTGAGGAACTAGAGGGCCACGGGTTTCCCACCCCAACCTGCCAGTTTCTGTCTTGACGTGTGGCTACATCTCTGCAGTCCTTCTCTTTCTTTTTGGGCTGGAAACTCTACGTGGGAAGGACGCATCCACACACCCATGCCTAGCTCAGAACCTTTCATGCAAGGTGTGCTTACTGGAGGTCCAAACTGCTGGGGTTCAAATCCTGGCCCTGCAGTTTGCCAGCAGAGTAACCACCGCCAAGTTACTTAGACTTTCCGAGCTTCAACTCTCATGTCCCTCACAGGGGGGAGAATGATAGTACTTGTCATGCGTTGGGGTGTTTAGGGCAGTAAGTGAGATAAAACATATAAAATGTTTAGCTCAGCACATAGTAAGTACCCCAAAGATGATAACTTAATTTCATTTTTGTTATACTTATTAGGCACTCTATACATATTAGACAAATGCCCCCATGACTGTTATACATGAGCTGAAGTTCCAAGTACTGTATGGAAGATTGATATGACCAACGTCACCTTAGACACTTTACATAGGTCCTTTAGGTTAATATTCTCTGGGGCTGTGGAAAATGTCCACTTCACAGGTAAGCTGGATATCAGAGAGGTTAGGTGACTGCTCACTGTTGTATAGCAGGTAAGTGGTGCAACAGGACTTCATATCCTGTGCTGACCTAAAAGGTGGAACCTTGATCCTACACACCACTTTCCCCCAACCCATTCTCCTGATTTTACACCCTCTCACAAGAGCTTTACAACTTTTTCTAGCAGACTACCTTTTAAACTGCAACTCACCCATACCAACATATATATAAACTGCAAACGTGTTGCACAAAATAACACTTACTGGTGCTCTACGCAGGGTACTCTGATAGTTTCTAGTTAATTCTCTCTCTCTCTCTTTTTTTTAAGTTTATCCTGCCCCATTGATTTGGTATCAGTTAAAGTGTGATACAACTTGAGTTTGAAGAACACTGGTCTGGCTGAAATGACTGGGCAGTGCCAGCTCCATGGCTCGTTTTCATCATGTTTGCGATTTGCAGCGCTGTGCATACCCCCCAGGCACCCTGTTAGGGATGGTGGATTATGTTACTCTCATTTTATAAATTCAAATTGTCAAGGATCAGAGATATAAAGTGGTCTTCCCAAGCCCACCCAGCTAGCAAGTTTGGAACCATGGCTTCAGTTTCAACCTTCTGACCACACAAATGGTACTGTCAGGGCCCACTAATTGCAGCTACCACTAAGATCACTCATTCATTCACTACGTTAATGTGCATGGTTGGCTCTCTTTGGCCAGATGAGGTGCTAGGCTCTTAGTACATAAATTTGACATGGTACATGACTTTGTGGAAATTTCAGTCTTATCTGGCATTGACAGTTTCTTTCAGAGAGAAAATCAAAGCCTACATATTAGCCTTCCAGGCCTTGTATGATCTGAGGCCCTCCTCACCTCTCTGGCCTTATCATCTGTCTCCCTTCTTCTCCCTTCTCCAGTCATGCTGGCTGCCCAAGGTTCCTAAAGCACAGCAGGTGTGCTCTAGCCTCAGGGCCTTTGCACAGAACTTTTTTCCACCTGGTGAGCTACAGCTCTAGATACCTGCATACCTGGTTCCATCGACTCCTTCAAGTCTTTGCTGAAACATCTCCTTCTCAATAATATTTATCCTGAACACTTCATGGAAATTAGAACCTCTTTCTCTCATCCCATCCAGCTTGCAGTCCCAATCTCCCTTACTTTAGCTCTGCTTTTTCCACTTCTTACCTTTCGATGTTGTATGTGGTTTGCATATATTTATTATGTTGATCATGTATTGTCTTTATCTGTGTCCCCCTACTAGGATGAAAGACAAAGGCAGGGGATTTTGTTCACTGTTCTCTTCCCAAAACCTATATATAATAGGGTACCTAGGAGGGCTAGATAAATATTTCTTTGCTTAATTAATAAGTAAATAGATGAAATGAATGATCATCCAGTTAAATATATAGTTATAATGTACAATGTGATTAGAAGAAAAATCAAAACCCCACAGGGGTTCATGAAATTGGGTAGATTAGAGGATGTGGTTTCTTTAGGGTGAGAACATGAGAGGGACTTAATAATTAGGTAGTGCAGACTCTGCTCTTGCAAGCCAAAGGAAGGTAGCATGAAGGAGTGGTTTAACCCAAGCAGAAGGTTTCTAAAGAGAAGTGAAGTCATTCATTCTTTTGATAAACACCCTTTATGGAGGCAGAGAAGACAGATCATATGTAGGTGCTTCCCGAGGACCGTAGCACACATCTGTCTCATTTAATCTTAATACCACCACTGTGGTTCCATCATTGTCTCCTTTCTACAGATGAGGAAACCCAGATGCTGAGTATCTTCTCCTAATATGCCCAGCTATTTGGAGGCAGAGCTGGGCTTCTCTTTGGCACCAGTGCCAGTGCTGTCACTCTCTGGGCACTTACTCTTTGCCAATTTTGGTACCAGGAACAGAGCTTACACAGCTGAGGACGACAGAGGTCCCCCCTCCCCCCGCTTGAAGGAGTTCACAATATCCCTTGAAAGACATATTGAAAAAAAATTCCCTGAATGGGACATGGATTTTTTTTTCTGGCCCCAATTCTTCTACTTATGGACATACCCTCCTCAGCTACTAGTTTTTAAACTTTGAGAATTCATGTTTTGTTTTGTTTTTGGTAGCCCCTGTTTAGTTATCTATGGCTGCGTACTTCAAAACCCAGTGGCTTAAAACAATAATCAACACTTATTTCACAGCTTCTGTGGGTCAGAAATTTGGGAGTGCTTTACCTAGGTGATTCTGGCTTTAGGCCTCAAATGAAGTTGGAGTCATGTTGCCAGGTGGGATTGTGGTCATCTAAAGTCTTGTCTTGAGCAAAAGCAACTGTTTCCAAGGTAGTTCACTCACCTGACTGGAGTTGGTGCTGGCCGTTGGCAGGAGGCCTCAGTTCTTTGTCAAGTATAACTTGCCACAGTGCTGCTTGAGCATCCTCATGACATGGCAGCTGGCTTCATCCAGACTGAGTAATCCAAGGGAGAATAGGCTGGAAACTTATGGCTTCATCCCAGAAGTCATGCATTGTTATTTTCACACGATCCTATTTGCTACATAAATTTGTCCTTTTCATTGTGGGAAGGTACTCCTTAAGAACACGAATACCAAGAGATAAAACAAATTATTAGGGGTCCACCATGGAGGCTGCTGGCTACTACCATTACCTAATATTACACACAGGATTGTTTACTTAAAATTTCTCACTTTTTATTAAAATTAGCCTTATCCTAAACAATGATATCAATTAAGTCATGAGATAAGTGTGCTAATTCTACTTTCCAGCCCAAATGCCTCTATACCTGTAATTGTTAATGAAAAAATTTTTTTTCATGTACCATCTATGACCATTCTCATACTCCTGGTGGCGTAAATGTTACACTTGGCAAGAATTGGGCCCAGCAAATAGGGATCTGTCAGAGAATCTTGGTGGCTTTGATCATCATAACACCTATTCTCTGTTTTCCATTTAGAACTTGAAAAGTTACAGGATGCTGATTTTGCTGTCTGCTCTCCTTTTCCAGGACCGCCTGTACTTCGTGATGGAGTATGTGAACGGAGGTGACCTCATGTACCACATCCAGCAAGTCGGCCGGTTTAAAGAGCCTCATGCTGTGTAAGTGAGAATGTGTGCTGTGTTTCTTCCTTGGGATAAATGGGTGGGTTGTTAGTTCCTTTGGGTTTTTTGCCAACAAAGGATTGTTAAACATCTTAGGCTTCTCGGTGAGAAATATTTGGTCAGGGGAGAGAGGGGTTCTGTTTGATAGGGGATGCTTCTTTTTTTTCTCTCTCTGGAACCAGCTAAGAACTAGAAGCTCTAAAACCACAAGTGTTTATTATTTATCTCTAATTCTTCCCTATGACTCTGACTCTTAGGAAAGGCCATATAAGTTCCGTGGGAAATGCCACGTAGGTTTTGTTTGTTCATTTGCTAATATTTATTGAGAGCTCATTGTGGGCCAGGCCCTAAGTGCTGAACAAACATTGTCTCATTTAATCTGGAGGACAACTCTGGGAGGTAGTCATTATTGCCTCTGATTTATGGACGGGGAGACAGACTCAAGAGAGTTTTGGCAACTTGTTCAAGAGCTAATGTGAGGCTGATCCAGAACTTTGATCCACTTTTTTTTGCTCATGTGCTCTGTCTTACACCACTCTGCTTCTTAGATGACTTCACTCCAGGAAGGATGATCAAGTTGGATAGTGGCCATGGTCTATTGTGGTTCCTGGGATGGGCAGACTGATTATGGGCTTTGAGAAATATATTCCCCATACTGCATCCATTCCATCCCCGTTAGTACGAAAGGCAGCCAGAGTTCCCATCTTTTTATTAGAACACAAATCTCATCTTATGCCCTCCTGTTAGAACCCTGTCAGTGAACAGGAACAGGACCAGCCACAGAAATCAGCAACAACCTCTCCCTAGGAAGTTTGCTAAGATCTTATTGCCTCTCCAGAGAGCCCCCAGGGCTTGGCTAGCACCACCCTGCCATATGCAGGCTTACTAGCTCCTGCTCAGCTCATCTAGCCCCCCTCCTCCCACCTGCTGAGCTTGTGAGCACCATGTTCTGGTAGGATTTGCATGATCCTTGCACTTCCATATCAAGCCATTCCTATCACAATTCTGAAAGGACTGGCTCTTCTTTTGTTTCTAATATCTAATTGACAAAGGCTTGAATTCCGTCATCACACAAGACATATTGTCAGGACACCTTACATAGTTCCCCCAAGCCCTCTCCAAGCCTCTTGGTATAACCGGGCTTTCTAGTTCTCCCAAAGCCTCTTTCCTTCTGGGCAGGCCTTCATGGAAGAGGTAACACGTTAGTCAGATGCTGTTTCCCATCCTGCCTGGACCATTCATCACCTACATAACCTGCCCAAGTTATTTCATCTCTCTAAGCCTCAGTTTCCTAATGTGAGGAACAGGTAGGTAATAGTAGAACCTACCTCACAGGATTACAATTATTATGATTAAATTGGATAAGGCCTCAATGATGCCAGGTGGATGGTAAGACCTCAACAGATGTTAACTGTTACTGTTAAGATATTTTCACTTGCTGTAGTCTGAAAGTACATTCTTCCTGTAGTCCAGTATATCCCATGGCTGCCTGCTCCCCACTACACAATTGCTGAGCCTCTTCCTACCCCCACTTTGTCCTTAAGTCAGCCCAATAGCTCTCTACACCGTGCTGTTAATCCATCCCTACTCTTCTCATTCTATGGGCTGCGTAGCTGACCTTCTATGCCCTGTGCCTAATTCAGTATTGTGTTGCATTGAGAGTTGCCAAGCATATGATGTCTCTGAATTTCTCCATTACTTTTTTTTTTTTTTTTGCAGTTTTTTGCTGGGACTGGGTTTGAACCCTCCACCTCCAGCATATGGGGCCAGTGCCCTATTCCTTTGAGCCACAGGCGCCGCCCATTACTTTTTTTTTTTTTTTAATTTCAGATTTTACGCTGCAGAAATTGCCATCGGTCTATTCTTCTTACAGAGCAAGGGCATCATTTACCGGTAAGTGAGCACTGCGTTACTTACCATCTCCCCATCTCCCTCAGTTCCTTCCTTCCCTGCCTCTTTCTTCAACTGCTTTTAAAATTAGAATCCGTGCTGGGGGAGGAATCCTCCAGTACTAACTTGGGCATGTGTTCTGCCAGGCAGCATCGCCCACTGCCCTGGCAAAGTTTGGGCAGCTCTATATGGTGATAGAAAATCTCGATGGACTGTGTCACCAATGATGGTTCACAGCCTCAAAGCTGAGACCATTTGCTATAAGAAGAGGAGGCTCACTTATGGGGTCCCAGGACTTCTCTCTCTTGCCCATAGACCCATTTGGGGTACAGCAAAGCCCCTTGGCTGGCCGAGTGTGATGGATCATGTTATTATGAAATGATGTTGTTTGTTTTTTTTTTTTTTAATTTTTTGCCACATAACTATAACTTGGAAATGGATCTCTGTGTAGCTGCTCCTGAAAGACAGGATTAAGTTCAGGACTTGGCATTTGCTGGGTTTTAGAGGAGCAAGTGGATGATCATAGCTGTATGAGTCATACCATTTTATATTTCATGCAAGGCAGACTGTTGAGCCTGAGGCTGATATTTGTCAGTGAGTCCAGGGTATGCAAGTCTCCTTGCACTCCATGGGATGCAAATGGTACAGTCGGTGCAGGCTTGGGCTGGTTTGTTATGCAAGAGAGGCTAGCAGGGACGTGGGGCTTCCAAACATCTGTGCCTGACTCAGATGAAGGTCTGTTTAAAAGATCACCAAGACCTACAAAAGTCCATTTCATTCATTTGCTTGGCAAATATTTATCAAAAGCCTACTATGTTCCAGGCACCCTTCTGGGGTCTGGGGATACCAGACACAGTGTCTTGCCCCTGTGGAGTTTATCTTCTAGTGGTAGGAGATAGAGAAGTAAATCATAAAAATAGCACCTGTCTAGTAGTGATAATTGCTATGGAAAAAAACCAAGCAGGACATGGGGCTTGTGTGGGGTGGCGGTGGTGGAGATAGGACTCCGATTGTGTAGAGAACATGGTGATTAGAGTTCAGGTGACTTTGGAGTCCTGGGCCTCATGCTGCAAGTGAAGGGTAAATATGGGATAAAAAGGCACAAAGAGATCAACCCTGGTAGTTTCAAGGCAGAGATGAGGCTATGGGAGCTGGCGGGATGGGGGGATGGGAGGTAGAGGCCTTTGTAGAGCCCTGGGGCTCTTATTTCCTTCTTAAAGTGGTGATATGAGATCTTGTGGGGGAGAGACAGTCCTACCCTGAGTACGCAGTCCCCACCATCCCTATTTTTCTGCTGATAATGGAAGGATGAAGGTCAGGAAGAGGAATAGGTTTTACCTGGCACATGGGTTATCCTAGTGAAGGTACAGAAATAGAAGAAGAAGAATTTCAATTTTAAGTAATATGGTCATTCTGCCCATGCCTGCCTGGGTGAACACGTATTGCTGTGTGAGCGTGACATGGGACACGGGAATCATCTAATTCTTTCATTTTACCTTTTGACTCTCAGAGCAAGAGCAACTTTTTGCGCCAAGTGTGATTCTGGTGCAGAAAAGCACACATTATCTTCCATAGGACAGTAACCCCTAAATTCAAGCCAATGACTTCCAATGGTGTTAGCCACAGAAATGGGGATCATGGGTCATTGTTCATCCTACATAGTCTTCACCTTGTGCACTGGTGTTAGGACCCAGCTTCTGTGCAGGATGTGCCTCCAGTAGAATAGAACCAGCTGGGTTGTTGAGAAGATTAAATATGGAACTACACATTTATTAGAAGAAAATGCACTCCCAGGGTAGGAACCAGGAGAGAAAATAGAATTCTGGTCAATGGAGTTGAGTTTAGGGATAGCTTCCAAATTAGCAGGGAACTGGATTGGGATCTGGGATCCATGGATCCAGGCCATTGGCCGGTTAGATGATAAAACCCAAAGATTAGCATTTTAGGTACTAAGACGCTACCTACTTCAAAGCGGTTTCTCCTAAACTAACTACATGTTCTTCCTTTATCCTCCACTATTAGTATGGTTTTTAAAGGGATATTTATCAATCTTTTAAGCCAATGAAATTCTGAACCTTTTTCCCTTGCATGTAAGAACAGACTCTGTTTCCTACTATAAAGAGTGGAAATGTCAGATACTTTGACAGCCTCCCTGTAGCAAAGGCAGACACAACAACCCAAGCTCATAACACTCACTCAAAACCTTGACTTAGAAGCTAGTGAGAAAGGAAGTGGAAACCATAGAATGGAGAGTGGCCATAGTAACCAGGTGCAGCTAGTTTTCAGAGGTAAGAGAAGGAGTGATTGATTCTTAGTAGCAACAGACAGTCCAGCATTAGGGCTTCACAGAACAGGGAATGTCTGTATGCAGTGATGGTTCTGGTGGTATCTTCACTGGAAAAGTTCTGCCCTTCTGGCCCTAAATTCAAGCCAATGACTTCCAATGGTGTTAGCCACAGAAATGGGGATTATGGGGATTCCTAATGGGGATCAATTAGTCTCCTAATCTGGTTCTTCAGCCTCCTTGGAGATTCCATGAGCTGCCCCATATCCCTTTACAAATTGCTTTTCAGGTTAAACTTATCAGAGTTGGGTTTTGTTTCCCACCATCAAGAATCTCAATTGAGATAGAGTTCTTGAAATTGATAATCAAATGAAAACTGTAAAAAGAAAAACATACATGACAAAAGATGTATGGTTCCATAGTTCCCTAGAAATTACTTGCATGGTGGGGAAGTCTTATAAAGTGCTACAAATCACTCCTTCTTTCATTTATAGTTTCAGTTCATTGAACAATTCTTAAGTAAAGAAGATGAGGAATTATGTTAGAGTTTAAACCCTCCTTCAGGATCATGGATGGAGATGTTGGGTGGGTGGGTGTGTGGGGGGATGAAAGATCTTCCTGTCAAACTTAGCGTCTGATTTATTGATCACTATCTCTGGAACATGTGTTGATTTAGCCCTTGATAGATTTCTGCAAATGAGGACAATTGCTCTAGCCCCCTTTTAAAGCAGAAATGAGGATTTATTACACAGAACAAAAGAATGCGGTGGAATTTCAAAAGAGCGCTGGTGACAGTGAATCTGATGGGAGTGTCTTCCGGTCCCTAGATCTGCTGATTCTTGGCACCTGAAACTCTCTTTTCTCTGACTATTGGAGATTTTATCCCTTCCCTAGTTGACACAGCTCCCTGTTTCTGGGTGTGTGGTTGCACTGGGGAGAGGTGGAGGGGGGCATGTGTCGCTATTAACAAAACCACATGTAGAACTAGTTGGTTTAGGTGAAGCAAGTTATTGCAGAGTTCATTTTTTCTAAGTTCCAACCTGGCATCAGATACCTCTGTGGTTTGTAGATAAGAAGGAAGGCTGGTAGGGTGCAGTGACTTAGCCTGTAATCCTAGCATTCTGTGAGGCTGAGGTGGGAGGATCACTTGAGCTCAGGAGTTTGAGGTTGCAGTGAGCTATGATGACGCAACTGCATACCCTCCAGCTGGTTGATAGAGCAAAACTCTGCCAAAAAAAAAAAAAAAAGGCTAGATATAAGTAGTACCACAGACAGCATCAAAGATAGCAGAGTGTTGCTATTGGCAAACAGTGGGTGCAAGTGGAGCTCCCCTAGTTCTCAAGCCATGTAATGTGGGTGATGTAGGATGAAGAGACCCTACAGACGGGGATGGGAGATGCCAGGATGTGTTTTCAAGTTGCATTCTTTGTTTTAGGAATGATGACAGCAACTCAATTCAGACTAACTTAAGTTAAAAGAGGCACTGATCAGCTGACGTTACTTCTAAGTGCAGGAGCAGATCTGACTTTAGACCTGGATAAACTCAGGTGCTCCAATGTTATGAGTGTCGACTTTTTTTTTTTTAGAGACAGAGTCTCACTTTGTCGCCCTCGGTAGAGTACCATGGCGTCACAGCTCATAGCAACCTCCAGCTCTTGGGCTCAAGCAATTTTCCTGCCTCACCCTCCCAAACAGCTGGGACTACAGGTGCCTACCACAACGCCTGGCTATTTTTTTGTTGCAGTTTTGCCAGGGCCAGGTTTGAACCCTCCACCCTCGGTGTATGGGGCTGGTGCCCTACTCACTGAGCCACAGACACCTGCCCGTGTGAGTGTCGACTTTTTCACTCTCCCTCTAGGTTCTTCTTTGTCTATATTAGCATTCTTCTCTCCACCTCGTGACCCTTAGAGCTTCTGGATTCACATTCTACCACGTGAGCAATGCCAATGTAAAAAACACGTATCTCTCTTCTGATGGTACCAGTCAAAATGCCAGAGCTGATGCTTGTAGAGTGACTTTGGCCCAGATCGGGTTGCATGCCCATTCTGAATCTATCACTATGACCAGTAGGATGGAGTATTTCCACTGGCCAGCACAGGCCCACATGACCACTCCCAGAGCCAACGCCACCCACATTACATGGCTTGAGAACTAGGGAAGGGTGGTTCTCTTCAAAGGAGTATTAGGATGTTCTCATCACAGATGCTAGAATAGGCAGAAACCACAGATGTCCACCACCCACTCAAAATGATTTAAAAGAGAGATCTGAATTGAGCGGTAGTTCCCCTTACTTCTCAGGAAGCTGGATTTCCCCGTCTTCTATTAGGACCAAGACAGCCTGACCCACAGATCAGTCCTACTCCCTGGAGCTGAAGCACAAAGTATCGATGCTTGAGTAGGTGTTTAGAAGGGAAAGTGTGTTGATACTGGAACAATCGTGCATGCTGGAGACACACCAGCATTTCCCCAAATACCAAGGTCTCCTCCTCAACACAGATGGAAATAAAACCAGAGAACATAGCACACACCCCTCTTGGTTGAAGCTCCAGGGTCACCACCATGCATCCTTCCTGACACCTGGCTAAAAGTGACTTTCCCAATTACTTCTGCATTGTCCTTTTTATTTACTTTGTGTAGATCAGAATCTATATTAATCACGCTTCTAGATTGGAATGCTTGCTAATTGTCTTTTTCCCTCCACTGGAATGTAATGAGAAGAACAAGAAGCTGTTTATCTTGTTCACAGCTATATGTCCAGCTCCAGGCTTCATGCCTATCACACAGTATGTGTGCAACAAATACTTTTGGTCATGTCCTAGGAAGTGGTCCAGGAGATGTTGGTAGAGTTCAATAAATTTCTCTCAATCAGTTTTTTTTTCTTTGTGATCTCCAAGACATATAAATAATAATAATTTGGTGAAAAATAGATCTTCCTGTAAATGCAAGGGGTGCTTACATTCCAAAGGGCAACTCTTGGAATTCTGGATACGAGAAGCCTTGTGGGTACTCTGCCCTTTCTCTGACGTTCTGTGTACCCCCTTGTTCTTGAGTTTCTGTTTCCTTGTATTCTCATGAGACACTTGGCACAGCTGGCTCTGTAGAATAAGAAAGAAAAAGAAAAGCGCAGAGGTTGGCAGGCCCCTGTGTATCTCCCCTCCAGACTGTAAGCTGTTGGAAGGCAGGGTTGGTTTGTACTCAACCTTTGTGCCCCACAATACCAAGCATGGGGTTTTATGTGTAAGGAGTGGCTAGTCATTGTTGCCTTGAAAGAAATAGCATTTAATTAAATCTCTACATTTTTCTGTCTGCCACAGTGACCTAAAACTTGACAATGTGATGCTGGATTCTGAGGGGCACATCAAGATCGCTGACTTTGGCATGTGTAAGGAAAACATCTGGGATGGGGTGACAACTAAGACGTTCTGTGGCACTCCAGACTACATCGCCCCTGAGGTAAGAGCTGCCATGACCCCACATGCACATCCATGCTGCAGGGACATCTCTCTGCTCCCCAGAGGGCCATGTGAGAGCCAGGACGGTTGAGGGGAGTACCTTGTAAGGGAACCTCGGGCTGGTCCTTATCCTGTACTCTAAATCATTCCTTTGAGATCACACATGCAAATTAACTTAGCACACATCCAGAAGCTCAGGCCTAAAATACATCAAGGTTTGGGAGAAAATTTAAATAAAACTCAAAAGAACCATCCAACACACATCAGTAAAATTCTCTGTCAAGCTGCCATGGCTCATGGTCATATGATATCTCAGAATTATGACATTGAAATGTTTGTTGAGAGAGAGAAAGACGGAAAGAGAGAACAGATCTCCTAGGCTGACATATGACATGGGGTCTGTGTCCCTCAATAGAAAAATGGATGATAGGCTCGGTGCCCGTAGCACAGTGGTTATGGCACCAGCCACATACACTGAGGGTTGCGGGTTCGAACCCTGCCTGGGCCAGCTAAACAAATAGTGACAATTGCAACAAAAAATACCCATGTGTTGTGTTGGGCATCTGTAGTCCTAGCTACCTGGGAAGCTGAGACAAGAGAATCACTAATCCCAAGAGTTAGAGGTTACTGTGAGCTGTGATGCTACGGCACTCTACCGAGGGGGACATAGTGAGACTCTGTCTCAAAAACAAAAGAAAAAAAGATGATTTCTTTATAGCACAAAATACTAGTAGGCATGGATTCAGAAGGGTGAATTAGAAATATATGTAGATATGGGAAGATCTTCAAGACATTCTGTTAAGAAAAAAATCACAGCACAGAATGGTAAATACAATATGATACCATTTATGCACAACAACCGTAATACACAGAACGCTGCTCTGTGGCTTCTATGAGTGTGTGCACATGCATGTGAAAGTATACAAAATCTGGATGATGACAGACTGATCTTATAACATGAGTCACCTCTGAGGATATGGGCCTGGTAAAGGGGAATTTAGCTCCTTCTGTATACTGTTTACATTTTTTACAGTAATAAGAAAGTAATCCTTTAAAAAAATTTTTACCAGAGCCCAGTGGGGTTCTTCATTTGTGGCATAGTTTGATGTATTGCTGTTGTGTTCATTAATTAGCATATCAGACACAAGCTATAGCACAGTGCTCTGCTGGGATATGAGTTCAGTCATCTCTGACCCTCAACTTGAGTTGCACTTGAGAGTCACAAGGGAGCTTTTAAAGTGTAGGCTGCTCAGGCATCATCCCAGGTCCGTTGAATTGGAATCCCTGTGCGGGGTGGGCCCAAGATCTCCGGTTTTCAAAAGCTCCTGTTTGGTGGTGATGGAGGTAAGCGCGAAACGCCCTCAAGTGCTGGCGCGGTTGCCTCCTCCTTCAGCCCACCATGGGAGGGATGCATTTGGGGGCTGGTTTTGTCATGAACTGACCACATCAGCTCTGGCGACTTCTCTCACCTCCCAGGCTCTATTTTCCTTTATGGAAAGATTAAGTCGTTGAGCTGTCATAAGGCTCTAATAAGACACGAAGTACTTTTAAAAGCGAGAAAACACTTTCAATAAGAAGCCTTCTCCTGGAAAGCCTTCCCTCCATGGCTTGTGATCACTAAGGTCATTTCATTCATTCATTCATTCGTTTATTTATGATTGACAGAAAAATTATGTACATTTATCATGTCCGACTTGTTGTTTTGAAATATATATACAGTGTGAAGGGCTAAACCAAGTTAATTAACATACACATTACCTCACATGCTTATTTTTTGGTGGTGAGAACACTTAAAATCTCTTAGCAATTTTCAAAAGTACTATGCATCATTATTAACTGTAGTCTCTGTATTGTACAACAGAGTTCTTGAACTTATTCCTCCTGTCTGGCTGAAATTTTGTGTCCTTTGACCAACATCTCTGCATTTCTGGTTTGGGAATGGAAACCAGAGTTGGAGCTAGAGATCAAGATACAGATATTCACTTTATAGCCAAGTTTTCTCAAACACCTTAATTGAGAAAAAAAAAAAGGCAGTAACGACATTACAGAACATTCTAGTGATAGCTAATATTTTGAAAGCATAATATGTGAGAGGTACCTAGTATCTTATGCATCATCACAAAATCCCATGATGTAGGTATTATTATAAACTTTAGTTTACAGATGAGGAACCTGAGCTAAGTAACTTCCCCCCTGGTTACATAATTGGTAAATAGGAGTCAGGATTCAAACTCAGCCTGTCTGACCCTCAGACCTCAGCCTTTAACCTTTGCTATATTACCTTTGATGTGGTTAGTTGTACACCCTTAGGTACTAAAAGATGGACAGACACATCGCTATTCTAGACTTTTCCATGCTTTGGCAATTTCGTCTTAATGTATCGAAAACCTTACACCTATATGCATGTACCATTTGGTCCCCCAGTTCTACTTCTAGGAATTTATCTTAAGGAAATAATTGGAGAGTTGTTCTAATATCTAATTACAAGGATATGTGTTGTAGCATCTTATTGATTCCTAATCAGTTGGGAATTCAGAGGTAGATTTTAGTATATTTAATGGAATACTATGCAGAAGTAAAAACTGATGACATTAATGTACATTTATTACCGAGGAAAATTGAATAACACATTTTATTAAAAGTTCACATGCTAAAGTATTTAGGTTTGTATAAAACACCCCATATACACAGAGTTTAATACATGTTCATAGCAAAGAGTCTGGAAGAAAATAGACCAAATATTATTCATAATGGTTCTCCTGATAGGGGTGACTTTCATTTTATTCTCTTTACTTATCTATATTTTATAAATCAATAGTAATGAATGGTATTACCCTTATGAGCCTTTTGGTTTTAGTTGTGGTTAAACATAAAAGTTACCATTTTAACTATTTCCAGGCATACAGTTCAGTAGTGTTAAGTGTATTCACATTATTGTGTGAATATTATTACTTTTTATTTGAAACAGAGTCTCAAGCTGTCACCATCGGCAGAGTGCTGTGGCTCACAGCAACCTCAAACTCTTGGGCTTAAGTGATTCTCTTGCCTCAGCCTCCCAAGTAGCTGGGACAACAGGTGCCCGCATAATGCCCAGCTATTTTTTGGTTGTAGTTGTCATTGTTTGGCAGGCCAGGGCTGGATTTGAATCCGTCAGCTCTGGTGTATGTGGCTGGTGCCCTAGCCACTTGAGCTACAGGTGCCGAGCCAAATATTATTACTTTTACAGTGAGAAGTAGAGATAGTTTTTCCTCTTAAAAATGCCACATTCACTGTATTGAGATTAAAAATAAAAAGCCATTCGCAGTGCTTCAGAAAGGCAATGTGGCATCACAGGTTTTTACCTAGCTGCAGTGTGACATCACAGGT